CCTTTGAACATTTTCTTATTAAAAATGGTTTGGGTTGGTGGATATCCTTGAAATGATATTCTCACAATATTAAAAAGAAGCCAAAACTACAAATAAAATTATAAGAAGACAATGATATCCCGGAAAAAAAAATACTTTTTACCTTTGATAGAAATTCCATTTTAAAGAAAATTAGTTTGAGAGGGCGATTGAATTGATATGAAAATTTTTTTGGCCGTGATGTATCAATATATAGTGAAAAATATTAGCTAGGTTTAATTGTGCTTGTGAAATTGGTTAATAAATGATTTTGACAGATTTTTTGAAGAAATTTGGTTAATAATTGAAGATAATTGATTTGGGCTAATATAAAGAGGTTTGTTTATATGAAGAATATTTTTGTGAATATTCAGCCGATTTTTTGTGAAATTGGGCTAACGGTATTTGTTTTGGCCGATTTTTTGAAGATATTTGGTTTGGTGTGAATATTTAATATCCGGATTATATATACCATATATCACATTATCGATTTATTAAAAATTTCCATCTTTTAGAATTTGAATTGAAGATTTTCATACTTAAAACTTTTGAACTAATGATACATAAATTTCGAATATTTGTTTGAATATTCGATTTTATAATTTAAAGGACTATTGTTATATTTTTTGGTGTTGTTGAGAATTCTTTTGGTAAAATCTAATTATTGTTAATCTTCTTATAATTGGCTCTATATTTTACTGCTTCGATTTTTTTGGAGTTAAATATATTTATCCGATTTTAATTCAAATTTGGTTTAAGTATGATAAATATATTTATCACGATTTTGATTAAGAAAAATTAATCAATTGAAGAGGTTTGGTTTGTTCCGATTTTTTTGGTGTTAAATATATTTATCCAATTTTAATTCAAGTTTGGTTTAAATATGATAAATATATTTAAGTATAATAAAAATATTTATCACGATTTTAGTTAAGAAAAATTAATCAATTGAAGAGGTTTGGTTTGTTCCGATTTTTTTGGTGTTAAATATATTTATCCAATTTTAATTCAAGTTTGATTTAAGTAGGATAAATATCTTTAAGTATGATAAAAATGTTTACCACGATTTTAATTAAGAAAAATTAATCAATTGAAGATGTTTGGTTTGGTCTTCACGATTTTTTGAAGAGAGTTTTTGAAGAGTTTGGTGTAAATATCATGTCATATTTTTTACAATGCCATGTCACATTATAATTGTGAGAATGAATTTGGTGATGACACATAAACTCTTTTCAAGAAATTGCTCTCCAATTAATATATAAGGAATTTTAATTCAAGTTTGGTTTAAG